ACTTTTCTTTCTTTCTTTTTTTCTTTTTTTTTTTTTTTTTTTTTTAAGTTTATGCAACTTTCATGACCACTTTAGTTAATTACATAGGTCTATTCATTATTGAATATAATGTAACTAATGCCAACAAGATAACGATCTTACATGTTCAAGGGTGTATGATCATTCACCACAAATTTTTGGGTGTATGATCATTCACGACAAATTTTTGCCTAAGAACTCAAAATTTAAATTTCTTTTTTTTAAAATACACTTTTAAAACTAGAAAATTTTTTTGTCAAAGTTTGATGAGTTTGGCTACTCAGTAAGTGATCACTGTGTTTCGATTAGAAAGAAAAAGGGCCCACTGAACTAGCCAGAGGAAGAGCTTAATCCTTGTTTTAATTGATTGGAATGTCATGAGCTTTTAACCGAAAGAGAGAGAGATATCAATATTTATGAGAGAGAATGAGAGAAAGAGCCCCAGCCCCTTTTAAAACCCACATCCTACTCTTATACACTTTTAAATAAATATTATTGTAAAAGGATTTTACATGAAGTGTAAGAAGGATGTTTAATTGCTAGCTTCAAACGTCCACATGTGATGTGAAAGATGGTGTTAACTTGGTCTCAGACCCTTTTAAAACTCACATTCTACTCTTTTACACTTTAAAAAAAAATATTATTGTAAAAGGATTTTATGTGAGGAGCAAGGAGGGTGTTAAATTGCTAGCTTCAAAAGTCGACATCTTAAACGATGTGAAAGATGGTGTTAAACAGCCCCTTTTAAAACCGACATCCTACTTTTTTACACTTTTAAATAAATATTATACGTGAGGTGCGCCTGTACTATGATCCCTTCGGTGAAACACTTGCTTGGGAGATTTTTATTTTTTTTAATTATAAATTTTAGAATTTATCTGATTATACATACTTGATTATTTTCTTAAAAAAAAATTGGATTTTGAAAAATACACTTTTAAAAATAAATCCCTGTAATTAGTATATATAAAATACTATTAATACATATTTTTATTGATGGATCAAGTATACAATGTATTCTCGTAGATGCATTTTACAGAATATACTTTTACATCTTATGGCTCAATGTTGGGGGAGTGATGTACAAACAATAAGTGAACTACAAAAGTCGATTTTTATTCTTTCAAACTAACCAACTTTTATTGTAAAAGACAATACTCTCATTGTCTTTAATAATATAGTAATATATAATTTTTAAAATTTTGTATTCTATTGTTATCATCAAATTGATTCATTAATAATTTTTACATAAAAATTAAAATCAGTGAATATAACATACACTTACAAATTTTATGCAATAAAATTAAGACACGTTACATCTATTATACTTTTGAAATTCAAAATTTTACTTAAAAACTAAAATAAATTAAAATTCAAAATTATACTCTCACTTTGATAAAATGTTTCAAAAAATTAAAATAAAACAACAAATTTGATTTTAAAAAATTATGCACTCATCTTATAAATTTTACATATTCACGTTGTTTCCCACTAATTCACATGTTAGCACAAGTCATCCTAACTCACAAAAAGAACAAGCTCGAGGTTCCCTATATTGCCCTATTATTTATTGTGACACCTAGAGATGAAAATAGGTTTTCAGGTAGGTCTCCGATAATAGAGCATCACCTCCAAGCACATTTTAGAGGTCTGCCTTACTTCCATATTATAATAATGTAGTATATTCAATGAAAAAATATTAAAAGTATAGTTTGAATATAATATATAATCCTAAATTATTTTTAAAGTGCGGAGGGTCCTATAAGATCATTACTCTTATTTTTAATATCGACAAGTATTTCTGCGTCCTAGCTCCTAAAATTTGGAGAGAATGCTAATGGATAAAAATGCATAAAGCATTAATATGGCTAAAATAAAAGTACAGAGTTAAATTGCCTCTGAAGTGCAAAGCATAATTTTTTAACCATTCAATAAATTTTTTTAATAATGCTGATAATCACCTATAAAGTAATTTTAATGATACAAATTTAATGAAAGCATAGCAATAAAATTTTCCAATATTTAAAAAAATAGAAAAATTGCTTATAAACATCATAGAAAACCATTGAAAATTCAGAATTTCAGGAAATAAAAGATATTAGACTTCATATTCCTTTCGGTACACATATCATATTTTAAATATGGAAAAAGTTTATATAAGATTTGTGAATTAAAGGTGTACCTAAAAAATTACTCATAAAAGGTCGTTTGGATGTTGGAAAACCCTTTAATTGATCATCTCGACATCGCGATGTATGAATTTGAAAACAAAAAATAAATAAATAAGATTTCAAGTTTGTTAAATAGCATATCTTGCAACACATTATCTAGACCATCATTTTTCAAGATTTTCATGTATTTATATATCTACTTGAGTTGTACTATTTTTAGAGTTTAAAATTTTATAATTAAATATACAAATATCTTCTCAAGTCAATCCCAATAAATTTTTATAAAAATGACATTTATGATAAAATTTAAAGATGTACCTTAATTAAATTGTTTAAGGTTGAAACCTTATACAAACCACACCCTTTAAATATTTAATAAGGCACAAAGAACTTTGTTGTATTTTAAGATAACATTGAATTATAGATACTGTTCAGAAGCACGAAAACTCATTGAAATGAGAAATCGAAAAAGGAAAGAAATTATGATTTCATATTTCATATTTCATATTTGACAAAGGAAAATTGTTTCGTACCGGCAAGACCGCATTTCCACAATATATGGTCCAAAGATATAAAACATCTATCTTAAAGATGATGCAAATAGGTGGTCCATTTTAAAACAAAAATAACTAACGATTCAAATGTTTTTTTAATATAACTATTATTTATAATTTTCATTTTTTCCATTAAGATCAACTTTATTCAAAAAATAGATTTATTGTCAAGCCCGCATTTTTTCGCTATGCGGGCTGGAACCGTGTCCTTTTAAAAAAACCATATAATTTATATTGAGCATTTAAAACTTCATTCTGAGGATGGTATAGCGTATTCATTATTATGTCGACGCTTGGTTCATATTGAAGTAGGAAAACAATAAACAAGTGTTGCGACAGAGTAAAATATATAATATGCTCCCGAGGGAGCATAGCATAGACGCACCTGAAATTTTATCAAATCGCAGTCCTCAGTCACCCTTTGGTTTATAAAAAAAGTACAAAAAAAACCACCTTACGGCGAGCTATCTATGCAACTTTTTCTCACATTTTTTTGTCTAAGACAAATATTCCTCACAAAAACCTTCCAAAATAAAAAATTATTATTTTTTGAACCGAAATGTCTTTTCCTTACAAATCAAATCAATTCATGGATCCAAATAACGTAAATTTTTGTACTGCCGAAGCACGTTTGACAGAGCACTGTAGCTCATACCCTACATTGCCGGAGCACACATTCAAAATACCGAAATGCTTCTTTATATTGCTGGAGCGCGGTCCTCCATTATCGAAGTGTTGTAGCTCTAGAGACTTTATTGCCGAAACGTGTTTTTGTACTATAGGAGCGGGTTCTCATCACGTCGGAGTGCTGTGGCTTAGATCTGTATTGCCAAAGCGTGTATTTATACTACCGAGAGCGAAGATGGTGTGAAAACAAATAAAGATAATTTATTTTTATTTAATGCTACTTTTAGATTGGGGGTTATTTGCTAGACAAGGTTTAAAGTGGGTGTTATTTGCTAGCAAATGTTGTTCAAAAAAAAAAAAAAAAAAGTAGAGAGAAAAGGTTCCGTGGGGGTAAGTTGTACAGACGAAACCCCTTAAGGTGCTTTTTGTAATTTTGGCCTATTTTATCCGATTGTTTGCTTGGTCACCCCCTTACCACCCTCCAGGCCCCTTGTCTCTCGTCTCTCGCCTCTCTCTCACCTTCCTATCTTTCTAGCGCTATCAGAAAACCAATCCATTACAAAAAAACCAAGAGGAGAAAAGAGAAAAACTGAGAAGAAAACAGAGCTCATCAATGGCGACTGGTGAAGAAGCACAAGGGAAAGCCCCACTTCTTGAACCTTCACAAGGAGCAGGAACTTCCTCTTCATTACAAACCCTAGGAAACATCGTGGTCTCCATCGTTGGCACCGGAATTCTCGGCCTTCCCTTTGCTTTCAAGGTTGCAGGTTGGCTGCCTGGTTCACTGGGGGTCGCCATTGTTGGCCTCTCAATGCACTACACCATGAATCTCCTGGTGCGTGCCTCAAACCCTAAAAGTTTCTTACCCAAAAAATTAAAATCCTGGAAACTTAAAAACCCTAAAACTCCCAGTGCAACAGGAAGCCTTGCACACCTCACCGTATTCTCAAAAATGAAAAACGATAATTGAAAAGGAAGTAGTTAACTTTTTTTGTGAATGGTTGCTGTTTCTTTGTCTATATGAAAAGAAAGAACATTTTTTTTGTTTGTCGCAAAAATAAAACCCTTAAACTTCGATTGCTTTGGAATTTTTTTATGTATAATGTGTTTTCTATGTTGGTCCTATGTTAAAAGAAAAACCCTTTTTTGTTTATCTAAGAGAATTATAAAACTTCCATTGTAATAGGCTGTTTTCGTGAATGAATGTTGGTCTTATATGAAAAAAAAAACAAACCCTTTCTTTGGTTTATTTAGTTGTCACTAACTCATTATTAGTACTTCACTAAGAATGAAAATGGAATGTTGGATTTGTTCTTGAAAACCACATTTTGCATATTTGATTTTGCGAGTCATGTGAGATTTTATCTTTTCATGAGAAAGCGGTTTCGTTGTTTTTCTCCTTTAAGTCTTCTTCCTTGATTATAGTAAAGGAGAACAGGTAAAATTACTTTTTAGATAAAGAAAATTGCGTGTCGGATTTGTTCGTAAATATTCTTGCAAAAAAAAAAAGAAAGAAGAAGAACCTTTATTCCATTACCATTTGTTTGTTATGAGAGAACAGTTTAGTTTGTTTCTCCAAATACAATGTTTCTTCTTTAACATTCAAAAGAAAAGAAAAAAACCATCTTTACTTGGTTTTTGTTTTTCCAAACCATATTGAATGTTAAGTTCCTTCCTAGAACCCCACTTTTTATTCTTTGGACGATGAATGCCATGATATTTCCTTGTTAGCAAAAGAATATGACATGTTGGTTTTGCTCTGATCAAACAAATAAGTGGATATTTGCTTTGCAAATTGTAGAATATAGAATTCCTGGTTCTGGTTTCTCATATGTTAAATTGTTTGCCGCTCTACATAACGATGGTAATCTTTTTATCCAGTAAACTCCACCCAAAATCTGATTTATCAGCGAGGCCTCCTATGCTTGCTCTGTAGAAAGCAATAACCAGTTTGGAATTCATTATCTGCTCATGTTAATTGATCAAAAGAAGCATCCGGTTCCCATGCATAGTTGAAATTACTCAGAACTTTTATCCTGGTTCACTCCTTTCTCTGTTTATTTCTTTTTCTCCTTCACCCCAAGTAACTTATTTGCCCATCAAAACCTGTTTAGCTTTCCTATCTTTCCCGAGTCCTTCGTGTTTGAAGTTTTTGCCTCGTTCTCTGTGTAATTGATGATCTTTCCTGGTTTGCTTTCTTTTTTAGGTGAGATGCAGAAGCAGGTTAGAGGCAGATGGATCCATGGATGTCCTTACTTTTGGAGACCTTGCTGAAAAAGCCTTAGGAATGCCTGGTCGATACCTAACTGAGACACTGGTTCTAATTTCTCAGTCGGGTGGTTCTGTTGCTTATCTAATATTCATCGGCCAGAATCTCTCCTCTTTGTTCAAATTTTACAGTCTTGATTTCTCTCTCTTCATCTTCCTCTTGGTACCAATAGAGATCGCCCTCTCATGGATTCGTTCCCTCTCTTCCCTTGCTCCCTTCAGTGCATTCGCTGACTTATGCAATGTTCTAGCCATGGCCATTGTAGTGAGAGAAGACCTCCAACTGTTCAGTGGCTTCTCAAACGCTAAAGCCATAACAACACTCAAAGCCCTGCCTTTTGCTGGGGGAGTTGCAGTGTTTTGCTTTGAAGGATTCAGCATGACTTTAGCGTTGGAAGCTTCCATGGTTCAGAGAGAGAATTTCTATAGGATTCTCTCCCTGGCCTTCTCAGGCATCACACTGGTTTATATAATTTTTGGGTTCTTTGGATACTTGGCTTATGGTGACCAAACAAGAGATATAATCACCCTTAATCTCACTAATAGTTGGTCAGCCATGGCTGTTAAGATTGGTTTATGTGTTGGCCTTACTTTTACGTTCCCAATTATGATGCACCCAATACACGAGATCCTCGAGAAGAAGATGAGAGAGGTTGGGTGGGTTAAGAAGGTCTGTAATGATGTGGACAGGGGAGAGAGAATTGGGGTTTATATGTTAAGGTCAGTTATGGTGTTGGTCTTGGCCATTATAGCCTCTTTCGTTCCTGGTTTTGGGGCATTTATCTCTCTTGTTGGGAGCACAGTTTGTGCACTGCTATCTTATGTTCTTCCTTCTCTTTTTCACATGAGATTGTTGGGCTCTGATTTGAGTTTGAGGAGAAAGGTTTTGGATGGATTTATACTGGTTTTGGGGCTGGTTTTTGCTGGGTATGGGACTCTCTCTGCTCTTTCAACATCATGAACATTAACGACGGCTGATAATATTGTTCAACAAATTTTTTTTTGCTTTAAAGGTGCAAATTATATACATCAATAACAGTTATGTATATGTAGCCACTTTTTCTTATCATGAGGACTTTTTATAGGGGCTGATGTTCGTTAGCATCTTCTTCTTTTTTCTTTAAAGGCTTATTTTTTTTATTAACAGTTTTTTATTAACAGTTATGTACAATGTTAGTAGATTCAGAACGATCTCCAAAATAATGACGTTTCGGTGCAGTCAAAACCGATTTGGCCACTGGTCAAACTACTAGACCATTATGAGTATGATGAAAGTATATATCAAGCTTTACAAATGATGTTTCTTGCGACATATTATGTGGACCATTTATTTTTAAGTATTCGAAGATCTAGTAGATGCTCACTATTTCTTAAGCTTCAAAGCTTTTTAATCTCATGAGGAAATAGATCTTCAAGCTACCATATTTTTTACACCAATAGGCACTCTTTGCTCAAAGCTTTTTAATCACATGAGGAAATAGATCTTCAAGCTACCATATGGGGTTTTGACACCGCTGTGGTTTTGAGTTGTGGGTTTAGTTGTGGATGAAGTTTCCATAAGGCCCAGGCTTTATGAAAACTTCAAAGCCTCCTCATACGAAAAGTACTTTCGACATCGGAAATATTCATGATGGCTCTAAAATTAATTTTCAACATCGACAATAAAATTTGAAACTAAAAAAATGGCATAGATCTTGCAAATGTGTGAACACTTATTTTTAGGATGGAATAGATGGTCTAGATGATTTTTTGCAAGATACATTATTTTTAGAATTTGAAATCCTATTTTTTTTGTACTAACTATAATATTCAAGCTGAGATGATTTAAAGGTTTTTCAACACGAATTGCAATTTTTGATGAATTGAGGATGAGGTTTACTTATTTTGATAGGGCTGCAGCCCTATCAAACCATTGTCCTTTAGTTTTTATCGTGGAGCCTAGGCCCAGTATTAACCTTATCCTTCATAGAATTATAACAGTGTAATTCTTCTCCTCTTTCTTTAGTCCTAATTTTATTTTTAAATTTGATATTTCATGTCAAGATTATGCCGTGTAGTGTATATTCTTCTAATACAGGGTGATCAGCGAATTATTTCCCTCTCTTTTCACAATTTTTCTTTTTTTTGTAATGTTTTGCTTATGCCCCTACAATTTGGTGATCTTGGCAGGCTTTGATTCTTCTTGACTTGATGCAAAAATTTCATATAATTTATTTCATTATTGTCTAAGCTTTATCCCAATCATTTGGAGTTAGCTACACGAATTTGGTTCCACCATGCTACACTATCGAGAGCTATACCTTCAGATAAAAAGTCACTCTATTTCTTCTCACTACGTCCATTCATATCCTTTTTGACTTTCCATTTGTTCTTTTAGAGCTTTTTACTTGAACTAAATCGCCTTATTACTTGGTAGTTTCTAGGTCAAAGCTATACATGGTCGACTTAAATCCACTTGTCTTATTGGGGCCACTATTAAGTTCCATTGGATGTATCCATTCCGAAGTTTATCTTTTCTTGTTCTGTTACTCATCCATCTCAACATCTTGATTTCAGCTACACTCATTCTACGAATATATTGTTTCTTGGCTGCCCTATATCCCATCCGATAAATCATGGCTTGTCTTATAGTTGTTATATAAGAAAAATTTCATATGGAATTTTTAAGTCCATTTCTTGCTTTATGTGCTGGATGATACAATGTCATTCAAGCACCTTCCCACCTTCAAGATACTTAAAGTCTTACTCAACCTTACAAAGTTTATATTCCCACAGGCAAACAAGAACCTTACAAAGTTTATATTCCCACAGGCATACAACCATTTACATCCATTTCAGCCTTAGAAAAACCGATTTTGAATGGTGCAAAACTGACTGTCTTGGGCCCATTAGAATGGACGACTTAGATGACGTGTTCAGATTCGACATTTAATATAGGGCTTTTTTAGCTATTCAAATCTATTTTATGAAAATCTCAGGGGCCAAGAAAAGAAGAGGAATTTGAAATGAAATCCTCCATCATCTAAAATAGGGGAATTTATTAAAGGG